ATATATATATATATATATATATATATATATATATATATATGAATACTTGTGTGCACATCTTTGTGGGGACATAGCTTTTCCCTTCTCTTACACACTCTGGAATGGAAATGTTGGGTTGTATAGTAACTGTATGTTTTGCTTTTAAAGACACTTCCAGGGGTGCCTGAGTGGCTCAGTGGGTTAGGCCTCTGCCTTCAGCTCAGGTCATGATCTCAGGGTCCTGGGATCGAGACCCGCATCGGGCTCTCTGCTCAGCAGGGAGCCTGCTTCCCTCTCTCTCTCTCTCTGCCTGCCTCTCCATCTACTTGTCCAGCTTTTTTAAAAGGAGGAAACTAAGGGCGCCTGGGTGGCTCAGTGGGTTAAGCCTCTGCCTTCGGCTCAGGTCATGATCTCAGGGTCCTGGGATCGAGTCCCGCGTTGGGCTCCCTGCTCAGCGGGGAGCCTGCTTCCTCCTCTCTCTCTCTGCATGCCTCTCTGCCTACTTGTGATTTCTGTCAAATAAAAAGAAAATCTTAAAAAAGAAAAAAAAAACCACTGCCAAGCTTTTATTCCTGAGTGTCTGTACATTTTCCCTTCCTAAACAGCAGTGTAGAAGAGCTTCAATTTCTGTACATCTTTGCCAATAGTTCTTTTAGCTGATAGCCATTCTAGTAGATGTTAAGTGGTATCTCATTGTAGTTTTAATATTTCATTTCTTTAATAATTAATAATATCTTTTCACATAGTTATTGAATATTTATAAATCTCCTTTGGCAAAATATCTATTCAAATCTTTTACCCATTTTCTAATAGGATTATGTCTTTTTATGTTGATTGTAGGGGTTCTTTATATATTCTAGATATAAGTCCTTTTACAAATATATGATTTGCAAATATTTTACTCAAGTCTATGGCTTTTCATTTTTATAACAATGTCTTTTTAGATACAAAAATTTTAACTAAGATAAAATTTATCTTTTTCTTGAATGTATCATGCATCATATGTTTGGTGTCATATCTAAGAATTCTTCACCTAACATGAAGTCTTAAAGATTTTCTCCTAGGCTTCATTTTAGAAATTTTAGTTTTAGTTCTTACATTTAGGGATATAATCCATTTTGAGTTAGTTTTTATTCATGGTGTGTGTTTTTGGAGTTGTTATTTTATTATGGCATATGGATATCCAATTGTCCTATCATGATCTGATGAAAAGATCCTTCCCTCATTGAATTGCCAAAAATCAACTGACAAAATATATAAGGGCTTATTTCCAGACTCTCAATTATATTCTTTTGATTGCCTATGTTTATGCCAATACTGCACTGTACTGATTACTATAGCTGTATACAACGTTTTGAAATCTACTAGAGAAAATCTTCCAACTTTGCTCTTTGAAACTTATTTTCTTATTCTGGACATTCTACATTTCTGTGTAAATTTTAGAGTCAGCGTTTCTATTTCCACAAGATAGCCTGCTTAGATTTTAATAGGGTTTGTGTTGAGTTTATAGATTCACTGGGAGAGAATATTGAATCTTCTAATCCATGTGCATACAATGTCTATTTATTTAGATCTTCTTTAATTTAGCTCAGCAATATTTTTCTAAGTTTCAATACAACTGTCCTACAGTTTTTTGACAATTTTATTCCTAAGTATGTTATTCTTTTTCATGCTATTTTTTTTCTAAATTTTTAAATTTTTTTTATTAACATATAATTTATTATTAGCCCCAGGGGTACAGGTCTGTGAATCGCCAGGTTGACACTTCATAGCACTCACCATAGCACATACTTTCCCCAATGACCATAACCCAACCACCCTCTCCCTACCTCCCTCCCCTGGCAACCTTCGGTCTGTTTTGTGAGATTAAGAGTCTCTTATGGTTTGTCTCCCTCCCGATCCCA